CAATAGATTATCAATACAAAACCGCCACCGCCACCGCCAACAAACGCCGTCGAACTTTACTTGCCTGTCGAACTAAAGTGGACAAATCGATGGTGGTTTGAAACAGCAGGACAAATCGGTGGTGGTTTGAAACAGCAGGTGAGACCTGAAAGACGATAAGAACGGGATTGGGAATGAAATTAGATGTGTGAAAGACAAATTTAGGATCTAAAGAGAAAATAGGGAAGAAATGGAGAAGGAAAGACTAAACTGTAAATTTGGTTCCTGTGGTTATCTAAAAAATGTGGATACAGTCCAAAAAGATTTCAACTTGCACCATCAGTCCAAAATCAAATCTTTTTTGTGGATAAGGTCCCTGGTAAACATGAAAAGACTGTTTTACCCTTTTTATTTCTTTTTTGCTTTTGTTTCTTTGTAATAAATAATAAAAAATGTTTTAATTAATTATAAATAAAAACTAACCCCACCCTCTCTTTCTCTTCTCTCTTCTCTTATCTCTCTCTCATACTCACACACATATAACTCGTCTTCTCCAAACGACCCCTTGTGAACAAAAACCATAATCAAAGCCATTGAAACCCTACTACTTCTTCTTCTTCTTCTTCTTCTTCTTCTTCTTTTTGAAGTAGGTTTACAAACCCAAATCTTGAAACCCATTTAACCCAAGAAAAAAAATGCTTTAAATACATCATGTAAAGAGATTCCAGAGAAAGAGAAGTCACCCACTGGTGCTCGATGATCAAAACACAACCATCACTTTGACTCTATCAACAACACATTTCTCTTCCAAATCAAGATGGGGTTTCCTGCACCAAGGTTGTTCATCAGGTTTATCAACTCAGGGAAACCCTTTAATTTCATAATTGATCCAGAGAAGCCCATTGATTTAACAATCAAAGAACGATTTTTTGAAACAATTTTGACTTGGCCTCTGGCCAGTACGCACCTTAATCAAAAGAGTTTTTTTGTCTTCTTTCTCACCTATATCAATGATTTGGAGGTGCTTGACAACTTCGATTTTGATTTTTCTAGGTTTTGTGTTTTTAGGGTTTTGGGGTCTTGAAAGCTTTGATGAACATACAATCAAAAATTAGATTTAGTTCAAAGTTAGGATTATTTCTTTTAAGTTTTCTGTTATTTATTTGATCTTTTATTAGTCGGTTGGATTAAAGGGTGTAACAACTTCACAGGTTCACGGTTGGGTTTTTGAGTTTAGTTCAAAGCACTATTTCACAATTTCGATTTGCAAGTGTCAGTGTTTATCATTGTGTGTGTGTGTATGTTGAAGAAGATGAACATAAAAAACGGATTCGGTATCGGTGGTTATAGAATACGAAAGCGACCCAGATTTATTCCAACTTCATTTTGTGTTGATGTTCATCCTCAACCTCCATCTTTGTCAATATCCAGAATTCATCTTCAATTTTTTCCTCAAATATTTTGATTTTTTCAGCTTCGATTAGGATTACATTTGGTTTGGATTTTTGAGTTCAATATTGATTTAATAATTATGTTTGGAGTTACAATCTATTCTTTTCTCTTTTTCTTTTCTTCATGGTTTGGAGTTTGCTCATGGCATCCTATACGGGAGAGAGGGGGGTTAATTTTTATTTCTACTTAATTAAAACATTTTTAATTATTTAAATAAATAGAAATAAAAGCAAAAAAGAAATAAAAAGGGTAAAACAGTCTTTTTCATGTTTAACAGGGACCTTATCCACAAAAAAAGATTTGATTTTGGACTAACGGTGCAAGTTGAAATCTTTTTGGACTTTATCCACATTTTTCTGATAACCACAGGGACCAAATTTGCATTTTAGTCAGAAGGAAAACATGAATCGGGGTGAAATCCATCTATGGCCGGTGGGATATCGGCTTAAGAGCCGATCACCACCAATTCAATTCTTATCGGTTAACAGTCGGTAAACTCCCATTTTTCATCCATGTGTCGTGACACTAATCTATGATTGTTCAAATGGAACCCTCTTTTAATATATATATATATATATATATATATATATATATATATATATATATATATATATATATATATATAATAATAATAATAATAATATGTATCAATTAAAAATAATAAAAACAAAAAAATAAAAATAAATAAATAAAACACAAGAACAGTCCAAACGGAAAAAATAATATTATTTATTTATTAAAAATAATAAAAAAAATAATAAAAAAATAAAAAACAAAAAATAAATAAATAATGAGGGTAAGAAATTTTAGGGGTGAATAATTTTTTTTTTAGTAAGGTGTTAATTTTGGAAAGGTTGAGCTTTTAAAACATAACCGTTGAAAGTGGGAAGTCAAAAGGACTGGGAGGTGTACTGTAGGAAGTCAAAAGGTTGGGTCGGTGTATTGGCGCGTTTAATATTACAACCTTCTTCGCTCTTCCACTTCCACTCTTCACTCGTCCACCGGAGAGACTAGTCTCTATAACTCCGCTCCTCGGAGACGGGAGACCCAAGCACCCCCTATACACTCGCAATCATCTCTATAATCCAAAGAAATTAACAAGATCGTCGTAAGTTTTCATTCTTCTCCCATTCATTCGTTCTTCGATCATCCCGCGGCTCCCCACACACCGTCGGAGACATGTTAGAGGGTTTTACTTGGAGGGGTCTCTTTCACACCGCCGTATCTCCTTTCTTCTAGCGACACCAGTGTTTACTCTTTCTTTCATTCTCGGGCGTTCAAGAATCCTCTGCCTTTCCCTCTTCGTCTCTTAGGTAACGTTCTTGATTCTTGTATGTGTAAGATTCTTCGGGTCTATTGTCATTTCTGGATTCATCATGGCTGTTGGGTTGTACTTTTATGCAGTGTATTCCGTTGACATCTGGTTGCGATCAACAAAAAAGAGTACAGATCTTTCTCATCTGATCTCCAGGTAGCGTGTTTAAGTTTATGGTAACTTTTTATGTCATGAAACTGTTTTTTCTAAGCATGCATCATCATCACTTGAAGGATCAAACACTATACCCATGGATCTTCTTGAACTATATTAGAGGTAAATTAATGACATAAGTATACCTGATTGCTGCCTTAAATATTAACCAACACATACGACCTCTCTAGGTATCTTTCTCTTTCTCCTCCATCAGACGGAGATGATTGGTCAAGAAAGTCGTGATGTGCTGTCAGTAAAACTTAAATAGTTTTGAAACCCTGAAAAGTATTTTTTTTAGTTGTAGATTGTTCTTCTGTGCACTTTAGGTGTTTGATGAAATGTCTTAACTAAGTTAAAGAGTTGTTTTGCTTTGTTTTCAGGGTGAAGTTATGCAGAGAGAAGTAAATAATCACCAGCCAAATTAAAACATTAAACAAGTTATTGAGCTATTAGAAATTCAATTAGGGAAAGATAATTTATTGTTTGTATTTTCAATTCAGTTAGAAGTAGAAGTGTAATTTGCATAATTGAAACAATTTTTGATTTTCATTGCTACAGAAATATTAGGACTTTTGTTTGTAATTTTCTTACTGCAGGATTCCAGAGATTGAAATTTGACTTTTGGGGGCATAAGGTCAAATGCTCGAATCTTAATCAATTGAGCATACTTTCAAAAGGTGTTGTGCTTTTTTTTGTGGACCTGTTTATATTATATCCTCTCCTCCAATTTCTGAGTTAGGTCAAAACAATGTCTTCTTTATTATTTTTGTTCATTGAAAAAACTGTCTTTATTGTTTTAACTTTTGAATTGAAATTGGTATTTTGAATACAAGGTTACAAATAAGAGGTCCATCTAAGAGATGCATAGGTTGTATAAAAAATTTCTATTTAGAGGTTCAAAACATTGATTACATGTTATAATGCTTTCCTCTTAAGTAACAGATGTTCCCTTTTGGTGACAGATCTTCTGCTGCATCTCCATTGAAGTTAGTTCCCGACATTAGTAATTTTGTGTCTACATGTCTGTATTATACTTTCTTCACTGAAATTGTATAACATTGCAACATGGATCCTGTATTTGACTATATATATCCTTACATTTCTGTCCTTTTACATGATGATACCCTTACTCTGGTTTGTCCCCCATTAGTTATACTAGTAATGCCATGTCTTCCATCAGCAACTGGGGTTAATAAGGCTGTATCATTTTCAAAACTTTAATACATCTTAGTGCAACTTCAAATCCTTTTTTGTTGATTCATTAGTTAGTGTTTGACTTAAACATCTCCAATAACATTAGTTTCTTTGATTTGAGTTCATATTTTATGATTGCTGCCTTTTCGATTACTGATTTATTTGCCATATGAATTGCTGCTTTTTAGGGAAATGACAACCATCGCCCTTTTCATCCGCCAAAACTAGATGGATGATCTGTTATACAAGTGATCACGAAAGGTGCTTTCCCATGGAAACCTGATTGGCACACATCACATATATGAAAGGTTTAATGTTGTTTCTAAATTAATTTCATGATATGATTTCTTTATTGTACTTGATTACATCATATGACTAAAACTGTTGATTCTTTTTGACTTAATGTGGGACAAAACTATTCACTGAGTTTTCGTTCATGTAGGACAATTTGGATGACATGGCAGAATTGAGACATATTGTGTAATTATATAACAAAGTATATTATGGGTATGATAAATTTATGTATTTTAGTAAGGCTTATTGATTCTCAATTAGGTGTGTGATTATTGCAGTGAAGTCATCTCATGTGATGGTCTGAGAGAAACTAGAGCAATACTGGAGCAGTCAAGGCAACTAGAAATCTGGAAGAAAAAAAAAGCTAAATTAACATTTACAATGATGCCATGGTAAGAAATCAAATTGTACTTTGCCTATTACTTAATATTAATATACATGCAAAATGTCTAATAGGGATTAAGTACAAAGCAATATCCGTAAAGGTAGTTCATCTAATATGTTAATAGTTTTTTCCTGATTTGAAGTGTCTTACATAAATATAACAATTCATTTGTATTCTCAACATTTATGTATTTTGTTGTTGATTGCAGATGAGAGCATTATAAGTATGGTTATGCATGCTGTGCTTAGCTATATTGGTAGAGTCGAAATAAGGTATACTTCTGATTATTATTATTATTATTATTATTATTATTATTATTATTATTATTATTATATTCATTTTATAGTAGTAGGCTCTATGATTACTTTGTCTAACTGTGTGCATATAAATACTCTTGTTTTTGGAAGTCCCAAGACAGATCTCCTACATCATGAGCTGCTGAACTTCATGCTCATTATCATGTCTACACAGCTTCTTTCTGGTCCATCACCTCGACCAAATGATGTTCACCCTTTCATTGATGCAACAATGAGTGAGGTAACCACTAACAATGTCAATATATATACTGAGGGTATTTTGGTCTATTAATAAAAAAGAAAGAACGGAATTGAAATCCTTCCACCCTACCCTATAAATAATGATATCCTTCAAACATGGAATTTGATGGATTCCTATGGAACTGAATTCCCTCCATATTTGGCAACGAAACACTCCCTAAGAATGCTAATCGTTTCATTTTCTTATACCTTATTGTCTGAAGAAAATCAGCTTGGTGTTCTGAAAAGAGCTGGCTCAGCAACTGGTAATAATATATTATATATAATCTTCCAAAAACTAATAATCTTTTTTTTTTCCAATGTACATACATCTTGTATTTCTAAAAGAATGTTCTTTATACCTCATTTGCAGCAAATATAGTGCTATTACCACTTAGTTACTTTGTGAATTCAAGTGTGGAAGCTTCAAGAAGTCAACTGGCAGACAGCAGTATCAATATACTACTTATACTCATTCATTATCGTAAATGTATTCTTGTGGAATCTGTTAAGAACATCAATGCAAGTGTCACTTCTGAATCTCTTCTGAAAGATGAAACATATTTTGCTGAAAACCCGTATTGCAAAGCCTTGGAAAATGTTAAGGATGTTGAGTGTAAGAAATATATATTGAAAGTACAATGCTCCTTGTTATTTCCAAGTAACTGACATAGTTTATCACCACCACCCCCTTGCAGTTGATAGAGTGGATATCGAGGGAAATGCACACAGTGGTCCACTTGTCAGATTGGCTTTTGCTTCTCTCTTTGATACACTTGGCATGTAAGACCTGATTTCACTTCAGATTTTTATTATAGCTACATATTATTTATATAACTGCAGGTGTTTGGCTGATGAAACTGCTGTTTTGCTACTGTATGCTTTGGTTCATGGGAATTCAGACTTTTTGGAATATGTGTTGGTGCGGACTGATATAGATACATTGGTATGAATCTATTATTGCAAAAAGCAAAATGCATTTAATCTTGTTTGTTGTGTATCTTGTCTGAGATTCCTTTTTCAATTAAAATGGCCAGTTAATGCCTTTGTTGGAGACACTCTATGATGCTTCAAGGAGAACATCAAATCAAATCTACATGGTGTTGATTATTCTGCTTATACTTAGTCAAGATGCTTCTTTTAATGCTAGCATCCACAAGCTGGTAACTTTCTTTTACTGGGTTTTTTTTTATTGAGTTTATTCTTAATCTATTGGGGAAATTAACCTAATATATATTTTAGATTCTGCCTTCTGTTCCATGGTATCAAGAGCGGCTTCTTCATCAAACATCTCTTGGTTCTCTTATGGTCATCATTCTAATTAGGACAGTGAAGTATAACATGTCTAAAATGCGGGTAAGACAATATATAACAGAATCTAATTCTACTTATAATAATTATTATGCTATATATATTATATAATATAGATATAGCTGCATGTGTATGTGTGTTTATACTTTATATTAGTTATATTTGAACTGACTTTTTATAAATTGGAACAGGATTTTTGTCTACATACAAATTGCCTTGCAGCTTTAGCTAACGTGGCGCCTCATGTGCATCGATTAAGTTCATATGCATCACAATGCCTTGTTAGCCTTTTTGATATGTTGTCACGCAAGTAAGCATCTTCCTGATAACAACATTGTACTTTCATTTATTTGTTTTTTACTAATCACTGTTTTTCATGGGCATGATATACAGATATGCAAAACTAGCAGAGCTAAAGAATGATAAAATGCAGATAAATGATAGGGAACTCAAAGATGATGATAAACTTCCTGAAGATACGGTAAATTATTGTTATTACATGGTTAAATTGTTAATTATGGCATACATACTACATTTATTTCATGCTATTAAAAGCATCATTCAAGGTTGTATTATATCCTATATGTTGTTTGTTTGTTGACCAATCAGCAGAATTCCATATCTCTACGGATTTTTTGAGGATCGTGTTGGAGATACTGAATGCAATCCTGACTTACGCACTTCCAAGGAACCCAGAGGTACAAACAGTATTGCCCAAAAAGACGTAAATGCCCTTTTAGATTGACTTTGTAAAAATTTGGCAGGTGATTTATGCAATTATGCACAGGCAGGAGGTTTTTCAACCTTTCCGGAATCATCCACGCTTCAATGAGTTGCTGGAGAACATTTTTTCTGTATGCATCAAAAATACCATTACTTTAATCATATAGTAATATAATATATATATATATATATATATATATATATATATATATATATATATATATGTATATATATATATTATTGATACAAAATCATTGAATTGAATTGAATTGATGATGTTTGGTAGGTGTTGGACTTCTTTAATAGCCGAATGAATGCACAAAAGTTGGATGGTGAATGGTCAGTTGAGAAGGTGCTTCAAGTAATCAACACAAACTGCAGATTTTATCGAGGAGATGGGATGAAGGTAATTATAATCCACATCTTTTTTTTTTTTTGAAAAAGTAAAAATAAAAAATGGTAAATGTTCATATTATTAACAATGTTATGGTGTAAATTCAGATGTTCACCCAATTACGCTTCACATATGAACAAGAAAGCCACCCGGAAGAGTTCTTCATTCCTTACGTCTGGCAGTTGCTAATCTCTCGCAGGTATATCCATAAATATCCATTTTATTTTTAAATTTTCTAAATTAATAAAAATACATAATTATCACTTTATTTATTCTACTTTTTAAAATCGAGTTTGTTACATGTGCAGTGGTTTCAGGTTTAATCCAAATCATGGATCTAGTCATGGTTTGAATGTGTTTTGTTTGTTTACTTTCATTTTAATCTTATTTTAATCTTAGCTAACAACAACATTGCTTTCATGGGTTGTTATTAGGCTCACATAATCTGCCACATTTATGTATTTTAATTATTATCATCTAACAAATCCTCTTTTTGATAGAAGGGTAACTTAACTGGAGCAGTTGAGAGCACCTACAAATCTGCAATAAAGCTAAAAATAACTGACCATTATATGATGCGGATACCAAGTCACCATTATATGATGCAGATACCAAGGTAAGAAGCCAAACCTTACTTTGTTGATTACTTTACAATATATACATGCAAAATGTTTGTCTCATAGGCCTAAGCTTTCTTCAGTTTTTCCATATCGCCTCATAAATTTGAATGCTGTTTAGATGCTAAGGTATAAAAACTTCCATGCTTTTTCTTTTCTTTTTTAGTTACACTGCTAATGTTTATAGGATGTTGTGTCTGGTGATTATGCCTTCATGGAAATGATATGCTGGTGTACAGGTAGCTACAGCTATGAGTCTGACCCTGTTTGTGCATTTCCAGAAATACCCCTCAGTTCCTAAAACTTGTGGTCATTTATTGTCTTCAGGAAATGATGGGTTTAACATACTTTATGTTAAATCAATCAAAAACGATTCTGAATATTGCATTTAGTTCGCTTGGTAATTCTTTACAAAAGGCAATTCTTTTATTTGTTTAGAAATGTACTTTTATTTAGCAAATTGGGACATCAGAGAAGGGAAATGCCACATGGTGTGGTCTTTGTTGAGTTGAAATGTAACAAGTGGTCAATAGAAATTTTGTTAAAAAACATCAGTTTATCTCTTCATCCAGCTGTGATGCTTCAACAAGCACCTGATTGTTATGTTTTAGCCAAACCAATTATGTAAAGAAAGTATGAATTTCATCTCATTCTTTCATTATCGAATATCAATACTTAATTAACAATATATGAATGATTTGTTCATCTTTTTAGAGTAATATTACATTTTTTGGTCCCCGAGTGTAGCTGGTTTTTTTTGATTTGGTTCTTGTTTGAGAGTTGTAATGTTTTTTTAACTTGTTCCACGTAAGATGACAAAGTTGCAAAAATCTTCTATATTTGGTGACCAAAAATAGCCACTTTACTTGGAACATGGACCGAAAATGGTACAAAAACCTTAGATAAGGAGCCAGATATTGTAAATTTGCTTTATTCAGGGATCAAAAGTGTATTTTACTCTTGTTTCTAAGTTTGTGTGCTTTATAAATAATGCAGATAGATGCTCTTTGGCTGCACACATAGTAGCAACAACATCCCAACAGGGGACATAAGTTTCTATTTCAGAAGCAACCAAGGTGAAAAGCAAAATACATACAATTTATTGAAATCTATTTTTGTGTGTATGATTGGCACACATCACATATATGAAAGGTCCAATGCTCTTTCCAAATTAATTTCATGATAATGAATTTCTTTATTGTACTTGATTACATCTTATGACAAAACTGTTGTATTTTTTATTGTCTTTTTTTTTTTTTTTTGTGTGTATTTGTGTGAAATTCTCTTTGTTTCTAAATCTCATTCTGTGGTGATACTAAAAAAGTTAAAGTTGTTGCATTTAACCCTAAAAGAATGCTTAGAGCTTCTGTTAGTCCAACATAAAACTAGTAGAAGAGTGGGAGACCCTCTCCTGAACTCATGTTGTAGTTCATTTAAAAAAATTTCTCTTTATTGTTTAATTTTGAATTTTAACAAAATGTAAAGAAGAGGTCCACCTAAGAGATGCATAGTTTGTATAGTTTTTTATGTTTAGATGTTTACAACATTCAACATCTTATAATGCTTTCCAATTAACAATCCAAGTGGACACCAAAGGTACTTTCCCATGGAAAACTGATTGGCACCATTAATTATACTTTATGATTTCAGCCATTTTGATTACTGATTTATTTGCCATATGAAAATATGCATTTTAGGAAAATGACAACCATCGCTCTTTTTGTCCACCAAAACTAGATGGATGATCTGTTATACAAGTGAACACGAAAGGTGCTTTCCCATGGAAACGTGATTGGCACACATCACATATATGAAAGGTCTAATGCTCTTTCCAACATAATTTCATGATACTGATTTCTTTATTGTACTTGATTACTTCATGACAAATCTGTTGTTTCTTTTTGACTTAATGTGGGACAAAACTTTTCACTATATTTTCATTCATGTAGGACAACTTGGATGGCATGGCAGAATTGAGACCTATTGTGTGATTATATAACAAAGTAAATGATGGGCATGATAAATTTATGTATTTTAGTAAATTTAGTAATACTGGAGCAGTCAAGAGCAACCAGAAATCTGGAATAAAAAAAAGCTATTACTTAATATTAATATACATGCAAAATGTCTAGTAGGGAACAAGTCTTTCCATATTGCCTCATAAATTTGAATGCTGTTTAGATGCTAAGGTATAAAAACTTCCATTCAAAGATTATTTTGTTATAATCAAAACTATTAACACATTGTAATTTTATTATTTTTCTTATTAGGTCACTGTACTTTGAAAAACTGAACATGTTTGGTTTTGGTTACCAATTATAGTATTATAACTTCTAATGATTTGTCTATTTGTTTAGAGTAATGTTACATGTTTGGTCCCCGAGTGTAGCTGATTTTTTTCAAGTTTGGGACTAAAGTCGCAAAAATCTGCTATATTTGGTGACCAAAGTGGCTATTTTTGGAACAGTGACCAAAAATGTTGACCCAAATTTTGTAAAATTACTTTATTCAGGGACCAAAAGTATATTTTACTCTTGTTTCAAACCAATAGTCACTAATATTATCTTTCAAGATTTGAAGTACATTTTATCACCAGATATCTACACTAAAGCACTTATTTCCAAAATATTGTGAAATTATGGTTCATTAATAATGCAGATAGATGCTCTTTGTTCATGCTTTGTTTCTTGGAATGGCTATTCATCAAAGGCTTTTGTTACTTACTGTAAATCCATGATTTTCTTTTTTTGGAAAAACATATATCGAGTCCCTGTAGTAGTTAGTAAAGCACTTATGGCCACTATACATACATATATCAAGGGTAAGCTTGTCCAAAAATATCAATTTTGGCTGAAAAGTTGGAGCTATTGGAGAAAATGCATGGTGTGTACTTATTGACCGGGGTTTGGAGGTTAGCTTACAACATAATTTTTTTTTTCTACTATAACTTATATTACAACTGTTATAATTAGAAAAGTAACAGTTGAAGACATGATATTCAAAATTTATCATTTTCTCTTTGAATATTATTTACTTTGGTTTAAATGCATTTCATTCCATTTGTTTATATTAATTTCCAACTTTTTGATCATATTCAGTCTTATAATTTCCAAAGGGATAATATGGACCATGTGGTAATGAGTAAAGATCTTATGGCCACTATAATAAGATAATTTTATTGATCATCAAGGGTAAATTTGTCCAAAAATATCAATTTTGGCTAGAAAATGCATGGTGTGCTTATTGACCAGGGTTTGGAGGCTAGCTTACTATAACTTATATTACAACTGTTATAATTACAAAAATACATATTTATTCATGTCTAGGTTTGTGAAGTAACAGTCCCTCTTATTGATCATTGTCAAAAGTCATGGATTTCAAAATTTATCATTTTCCTGTTTTTAAACTGTAGGTCACCTTGGCCTCCCAGAAGCTTTTGAAAATTGGTGATGCGAGTCTTGTACTATAAACCTGATGATGTGCTCTCCTTTTTTACTTTTTCTACAAAATGTGATCTTTTTTATTACAATTTTATTATTTATTATTCATTATTCATTAAATTTTACTAAATAAAGAATGATGCTTCTTAAGATAACAAATAAACGGCCAAACAAAGCAACTAAAAACTCTAAACAAAGTCACTTTGGTTTATGAGTTTGGAAGTTGTACTATTTTCTAATGAACAGTTAATCTTCTGCACGTAAATAGAAAATTTTGGCTTCTGATAGACCCTTGTTGAATACTCCAGGCATTGTAAAGCTCACACTAACAGAAATTCTTGATAATATTCATAAAGATAGTTTCTCACAATTCTAGATGCGAGAGTCTCTCCAAAAGAACAATGTTCTCTTACAAATTAATTCTTAGCTGCCTCACTCATACTACTAACTACTATATATACTACTACTAAAGAAAAGAACAAAAGGGAACAACAGCCAAGTGCTGTTCCCACTAACATAACAGCCAATAACAGCCATAATACCAAAAGGACCAAACTACCCCTACAACCAAAAAGATAGCAGAATAACTCTACTAAATCAAATCAACTAAAAGCACTCTAGGATTAGTTAGGCTTATAAGCTTCAAGTTTTGAATTTGGGCATAAACATCTTCACTTAACCTTGCAAAAATTAATGGTGATGTAGGTTTTCTGTTTTTCCTAATTCCCCTTTTTATGGTAAAAAAAAAAACTGACTTTTTTCTCTTTTGCTACCCTAAAACGCCACAATATCAACATCTTAAAGATTTTTTCCAAAAATGAGAACTGTAGCAATGAAATTTTGTTTGATAAGTATGAAGATGATGGTTTTTTGTAATCAGGCATTAAAAAGATTTTGGTTTTCGTTAAACGTTATAATTTTAGTCTTATTGAATCTAGTGCTTTATTTATCTTTTTTATGTATATGATTCATTGCTTTCTATAAAGTATAAAATCTGTCTTGATGGTTATTGTGTTTCTAGTTTCTTTTCCATTGCTTTACATTTACTGGGATCTAGTCATGGTTTGAATGTGTTATGTTTGTTTACTCCATTTTAACCTTATGTTATCTAATATGCTCACATAATCTGCCACATTTATGTATATCAATTATTATCATCTAACAAATCCTCTTTTTGATAGAAGAACAACTTAACTCGAGCAGTTGAGAGCACCTACGAATGTGGATACCAAGGTAAGACGCCAAACCTTACTTTTTTGAATACTTAATAACATACATGCAAAATGTCTGTATGATAGGCTAAGCTTTCTTCACTCTTGTTTTATACTTACTTTTTATCCTTTTTTTTTTCTTTTAAAGAGCACGTGAAAGTTATTGTACTTTGAAATCCAATATTTTACTTTCCTTTGAAAACCTGTTCTCTTAAGTCATTGTATTTTTAGTTCTTGTCCTTTTAGTATACATTATATTCTGAAAGTGCAGCCAACTTTAGCATTATACATTCTATTAAGACCTTGTATTTTCAAAAAGGAAACTTGTTTTTTTTACCTATTATAGTATTATACATCCAATTATTTCCCATAGGACATTGTACTTCTATTTTTATTTTTATTTTTTTAGTTTTAATACTCTTATTCTCAAAACACTGTACTTTTAAATCTTATTCCAATTCCTTTGACAAATTCCATTCATTCCAAAAATATCTTGTGAACCACAAGTTCCCTTACATTACTCTGAGATGTATTGCTATTCTCAACTCCAATGATTTTAAAAAGTTCCATTAATTACTCTGCAACTAGAAAAGGTTTTGCAAATCAGAAAAAGAAGACTCCTCAAGAAACAAAGTGTTAACATGTAGTTTTTATCCTTAACACTGTAAAATACTTCATGCTTTTTATGTTGTCTTTTAGTTACTCTGTTAATGTTTAAAGGATGTTGTGTTGGGTGATTACGCCTTGATGGAAATGCTATGCTGGTGTACAGGTAGGTACAGCTATGAGTCTATGACCATGTTTGTGTATTTCCAGAAATACCACTCTGTTCCTAAAACTTGTGGTCATTTATTGTCTTCAGGAAATGATGGGATTAACATACTTCATGTTGAATCAATCAAAAAGATTCTGAATATGGCATTTAGTTCGCCTGGTAATTCCTTGCAAAAGATATTTTGTTCTTTAGTTAATTCTTTTATTTGTTTAAACATGTACTTTTATATACTAAATTGGGACATCATGGACGTGAAAGGCCACATGGTGTGGTATTTGGTGGGTTGAAATGTTAAGAACAAGTGGAGATAATAATTAATTCTATTTTGTGAATGAAAGTATTATATATGAGAATTTTGTTAAAAAAACTTCATTCTTTTGTATGAATCTCTTCTTCCAGCTGTGATGCTTGGACAAGCATCTTATTGTTAGCCAAATTATATATGTTAAGAAAGTATGGATTTTGTCTCATTCTTTCTGTTGGTGATCTGTACAAGAAATAAATGTCATCAGGTATTGCAATTTTTGTAAATTCTCTAATAGATAATTTTGTTATACTTAAAAAATAGTTTTCATTATCGAATATTAATATTTAAGTAACAATATATGAATGATTTGTCTATCTGATTAGAGTAATGTTACGTGTTTGGTCCCCGAGTGTAGCTGGTTTTTTTCAAGTTTGGGACCAAAGCTGCAAAAATCTGCTATATTGGTGACCAAAGTGGCTATTTTTGGAACAGTGACCAAAAATAGTGACCCAACTTTTGTAAATTTGCTTTATTCAGGGACCAAAATTATATTTTACTCTTGTTTCTAAGTTTGTGTGATCTTTGTTATATTCTTCTGAGAAACTCACGTTTCAAACCCATAATCACTAATATTATCTTCCAAGATTTGAAGTAGATTTTATCACTAATATTTTGCACTTATTTCCAAAATATTGTATGTTCATTAATAATGCAGATAGATGCTCATTGGCTGCACACATAGGAGCAACAAAATCGGAACAGGAGATATAAGTTAGGGTTCATTCTGTTTCAGAAGCATCCAAGGTGAAAAGCAATTTTGTTCTTTAAATGCATTTCATTCCATTTGTTTATACTAATTTCCAACTTTTTTGATCATATTCAAAAAGTATGTGGCTTCCTGAAATTCTTGTAGCTAAAAGCTCTTCAGGCTCTGTTCCTGCTTTCTTTCTTGGATTGGCTATTCATCAAAGGCTTTTGTTACTTACTGTAAATCCATGATTTTCTTTTTCTGGAAAAACACAGATTGAGTCCCTTTAGTAATTATTAGTAAAGCGCTTATGGCCACTATACTAATATAATCTTATTGATTATCAAGGGTAAATTTGTCCAAAAATATCAATTTGGGCTAGAAAGTTGGAGTGATGGGAGAAAATGCATGGTCTACTATAACTGATATTACAACTGTTATAATTACAAAAATACATATTTATTCATGTCTAGGTTTGTGAAGTAACAGTCCCTCTTATTGATCAATTGTAAGACTTTATAACCATATATATATATATATATATATATATATATATATATATATATATATATATATATATATATATATACTGAAGGGTACTTCTACAATGTTAAAAATGGAAAACATTGTCAAAAGTCATATATGATTTCAAAATTTGTCATT